TGAGAAAAGACACGTTGCATATTCGTAATCAAATAGCAATGTCCCATGACTATAGTCACCGCTAGTACCTTACTCTTTACCGACATCTAGGGCCAATACCACTGTGAACATGCTGTTTGTGGTGCTAGTGGTTGACACCGCAAATAATGTGTTATGGCAGGTGTCATACTATCGGAGTCTCCCATCTTTGTCGGTAACGATGCTACTAGGCTTTTTTGCACTGGTGCCTCCACCCTACCAAGGCTACCAACGGTTTTCTGCACTGTCAACCTTTTTTTGAATCAATGAGTACTTCTCCGGGAACCATTTCGGCATTTATCACACACCATTGACTAGTGGTACGAACCTCATATCACTACTATACTCTCTGTCCTCCCCCGGTTTCAGCTTTATAGTGTATGTTGCCTCCCATGGTTGCCGATCACCTCACAACTATAACAAAAATCTGACATGACTTCAAACTCAAATGGCACTACCTCTATTCCTCCTCCTTAGTATTACCCTCCTTCTTTTATTTTATCCTTGGTTCCTTCTCATTCTCTTCATCAACCAACATGCATCTTCTTAGTGGTTTAGTGATATCAATTTGTGTTCACACCCTGAGCACTTGTCGAAATGTGGTGCCATCTTCCCCCCACATGAACCATCAAGTCCTCCTCCACCTCATATCCACCACTCTCCCCGCTCCACATTCATCATAGCTATCAGTAAGTTTCGTACACGTAGCCATACAGATATATGCTTGAACTCTATATCTTCTAAATATTTGCTCACACCCAACTCCCGCATGACTAACAATTCCTTACTAAAAGTCCATGGCCCCTCATCTAAACTCTCCAATACCCTGGCATCTGTCTACGTGAAGAGGAACATGTTCTTTCCTAGATCATTGCATTCTCCTCTTTGATGGGGCACCAAATCTTTTCCAGAGTTAATTGCACAAAACCACCACATTTAGGACATCGTTTGCAGAAAATCATGAGGTCACTATTTTTTTTGCAAAAAACACTGCACATTCAGTAAACCTTTTGCAAAAAACACTTATCGAGTGATTTAAGTCGTTTAATCACTTTTTGACAAGTGGGACCGGATTGTCGGGAGCTGACTTGGCAAAACATTTACATACACCCCCTTATAGATGTAAAAAAAGCAATCGACCTCCTCTGCTCCCGATCCCATCGGGAGGAGGCACCCGACTGGCGAGGCCTCCGCCGCTGTGCTGCCAGAGCTCCGCCCCGCTGCCCACTGCCTCCTGCTCTAGTCGTATCCTCGCGCCGGCGAGCTCGCCTCACGCGTCGGACATTGGTGGCCATGGGGCCGCCAGCCACAACCCCCGGCGAGGTGTACAACGAGTGTGCACTGGTAGAAAAAGGGCCTGTTGTCCCGGTTCGTAAGGGCCTTTAGTCCCGGTTCCTGAACCAGGACTAAAGGGTAGGTACTAATGCCCTGACCCTTTAGTCCCGGTTCAAACCAGAACCGGGACTAAAGGCCCTCCACGTGGCCGGTCCACCTTTAGTCCCGGTTGGTAACACCAACCGGTACTAAAGGAAATTTTCTAAATTTTTTTTGGAATTTTTTTTGAAATTTTTTTATTTTCAAATTTCTAAATTATTTTAACCTCTAATCTCTAATCACTCCTCATCACTGCTCAATTTAATCTCTAATCACCCCTCATCATTCCAAATCATCTAACTTCCCGGACGGTCACCCATCCTCCCATTCCCCTAGCCTGAGCACGCTTAACTTTCGGGTTCTACTCTCCCTCGTTTCCAAGTCTGCACTCGTTGTTTTCCTGACAATAGTAAGATGTCAATCCTATTAACCCTCAGGAGTTTAGCTTGAGCATGAAGTCACACATTTCACTGTTACTATTGTTCTAAAAAACAATATTTTTTTAGTAACACTAATATTTCTTGAATAAGTAGTTTGACCATTGTTTGACCACAGTTTGACCATAGTTTGACCAGATTTGACCAAAATTCAAAAAAACTGAAATAATTATTTAATAACACTAATATTCTTGAATAACTATTTAGTAACATAATACTTCTTGAATAAGTAGTTTGACCATAGTTTGACCAGATTTAATGAAAATTTTAAAAAACTGAAATTTGAGCATAACTTTTTTTCCTTTTGGAATTTGAGGATTCTACAAATTTGCAAACAGGCCATAGGTGGTCTCCATCGGATGTAACTTTTCGAGTAGATGATTTTTCATATAAAAAACTTTTTAATCCGAGTTCGTATGCAGAAGTTATGCCCATTTTACAAATTCCAGAGAGATTTTGTAAATAAAGTCGAAATTCATATTTGTAAATTTTTCCAACAACTAGACCACATATCACATGGGAAACTTATTTTATTTTATTTTTTTGACATTTCCATCATTTTCTTTTGTTTTTTCTAAAACTGAAAGG